TGCGTGATATTAAGACCTTTGGAGCCCGTTTTGATTTATACTTAATGACTAGTGACTACTACTACTACTACTACTGACACTGGACAATTATTCAATTTTCCTGAGTTGGTCTGAAAACTATATTATATTTCCTACAAATAATTTGTTCAAGTTCGTCTTTGCAACAGTGATGGGAAGAACATTTCAATGCTTTTAATTTCCACTAGATAGCAGCAGATCAATATGAAAGCTGAACCAGAGAGACTCGGAGCTGTTTGTCATTCTTCAATTGTTGCGAGTATGTCAGGGTTGTGTACAACTAAAAAGGCCCATGTTATTAGGCCTGTTAGTAAACTGGAACTAGAATACATTTGGCGCCCCCTCGTGGTTTTTCCAAATGTAAAAAATATGTGCCATAGCTCAGAAACTGTTGGGAAACAATGCTATATGGAATGATTACTCACTATTTATTGTAAAAACAATGATGTTACAGGAGCTTTCGAAGCGTCTTGGGAAGTTAATCCAAGGAGAAATGGACCAGTACAATAGAGGAGTCATATTCACTCCAGCTTATGTTGCGCGACACAAGGCCAGAATTCGTGGGCTGTTCAGCTCCGTCACAAGGTTAGTTTTTACCAGTCAATATCATTAACCAATAAAATCTGAAGTTAATATATCTGATTAAAATATTGCTCAATGATTTGATATCGGTGTTGATATCAAATTGAATAAGCCAAGACTGAACAAACCCTAACTGATTGTGTTTTTAAAATTGTAAGCTTAGTTTTTAAAACTCTTTGCATCTCTTTGTTTTTTTTTTTGTTTGTTTTTTTTAGACCCACTCTTGTGAGCAGCATGATTGGAACGTTTGGATTTAAAGAGCATCTTCTTTACTGTAAGTCTCAGTTTTGATCATTGTTTTGTTTTTATTCAATTTGATTGGTTTCTCACTGTGTTAAATCACATTGGTGTCTGTTGTCGACAGCTGTTCTGGAGGAGTTGGTGGACACGGGGCGTCTAAAAGGCAGCGTAATCGGCGGGCGCCAGAACAAAGCGCTTTATATTCCCGATATTTACTCCAAAACGCAGAATGCTTGGGTTGACTCTTTCCTCAAACAGAATGGATATTTAGGTAAGTCGTTGTTCACTGTTTATTTTGCTGTATATCTTATTGATTTTACTCCATTTAGACCATTGATTCCCAACCTCCAAGAAGATTGTTATATTTTGTTACATACATTTTTTGTTCAATTTTTGTTTGGTGGTGTGCCGTTCCCTAATGATGTATATGTGCCGTGATTTAGACAGATACTATGTGTGATTTGTTATGCGAGTAGATAGGCACAAAACCTACAAATTGCCTGAAATAAACACCTGTTACCCTAGGCAACAATAGAAGCCAAACATAGCATCAGAACACCAACAGATCAGTCATGATGACTGCTAAAAACTAGGGATGTCCGATAATAACGGCCGACCGATATTATTGGCCCGATAATAGCATATTATGTAATATATGTAAGAAACGTTATCAGTGTTTTTTTTCTCCAATAATAAAAACCTGATAACGCAATGCCTGGCTTTTGCCAAATGATGTGCGCCCTAAAAATACTTTGGGGGATAAACAGCTGTACGTTAAAGTTAAAGTCACTAGATGGCAGCATTGCAGCTCACTTAAAAATCTCATACTCATACAGTGGTTTGTACAGATTCATAAACAAATATTACCAGGCCTATATTGGTATTGGTTAATATCAGAATCATAAATTAAGTGTTTGGAAATAGTGCCATATCGGATATCGGCAAAAAGTTAATATCGGACATCCTTACTAAAAACATAAACAGTATACAGCAAGAAATTTTTGTTTTAGAGGTAGCAGCCAGATGCATTTTTAAAATGTGGAGGTATTTTCTCCTGCAGTTTTTCAGTTATCAACTTACCTGCCACTGCATCCATGTTTAACAGACATCAGCTCCTCAGGTAGTGGCTACACATACTCAGGGAAAATGAGATTTTATTGTAATCAAATATTAATAATTCAGATATTTTTATTGCCGGCTTGCTTTTTATACTCTTAATGGGAACGTTGAGGAACATCGATTCAGATGTGGAGTGTGTTTATTTTTCTATGAGCAGTTCTAGCGCTTTGATTAAATTTTCAATGAAATGAAATCTACTTTAATGTCCCGGTGGGTAATCGCATCTATAGTTCCGCAGGCAGTCTATATAAAAAAAATGAAACAACATAGTAACATAAAAAAGTATAAAATACAATAACGGAAAATTAAATAAAGCAAGTACATTAAGCGTTAGACAAAATCATGAATATTTCACATTATCCAGGGCCGACTGTGTCTTGTATGAATGTAGGTCTACTTCTGTGAGTTATCACACAGTTTCTTTGCGTACTTTTCATCATATCACACACGTTCGATAACCGTGAGCGATGCACTAAAAGCACTAATAAGAAATCCCTGCTGTTGGTGTTTTATCTCTCAGGTCGAAAAAGCGCTTCAAATGCAGTCGTCACTAAAAGTTTTTTTTTTCTATAAAATTTCAATTAATTGGTCCGAAAACTATAATTTATTTATTGCAAATTTTTATTTATTTTTTTGTTCGTCAATGCATGACAGGCAGAACAATTAATTATTCTTCACTAGGTGGCAGTAGATGGCTATGAAAACTAAAAAAAAACTGTCAGAGCTCTTTAGGATCTTTGTGAGTGTCTTTCTTCAATTCCTGCCAGTATATCAACGTTGTCTTCAACTAAACAGGCTGAGATTTTAGTCAATTATGAGGTCATTTAAACTACAAGGTTATTATAAAGAATTTTTAGCATTCTTGTAGAAGTAAAAGTTTAATATACAAATATCCCGGGAAAAACTGCCAACTGGTTTTAACCTCTGTCTCACTTTGTCATGTTCTCCAGGGTTTCCAGGGCAAAAATGGTCCTCACGGGCCCCCAGGTGTCGTTGGACCTCAGGTAGGAAGAAGAATCAGCCCATTGGTTAATACTTTTTTTTTTTTTTTGCATTTTTTGAAGCTTCACATGACTTCATCGAACATTTCAGGGTAAATCTGGAGAGACAGGGCCAACTGGAGACAGAGGCCATCCAGGTTCACCGGGACCACCCGGTGAGCACGGTTTACCAGGATCGGCTGGAAAGGAGGGCGCCAAGGTGGGTGGTGTTTGTCATAATGTCAGTCTCATAATCACTTCACAGCGTAGTCTAGTAAAAGCTCCTCCACTCCTCCCCCCCCTCCCACCATAGCACAGCCGGTATTTCTCGCGTCCTCTGTCTCATCCTTCTCTCTAATTCGCTAATAAACAACACACAGGACACACTGCGGTGTTGGGTGTATGTCGACTCATGGAAGATAAATGTTCTTCCCTTTCATCTCACCACAAAAATGTGCATGTGTGTGCGATTTCAAGGGAGATCCAGGTCCACCAGGTGCCCTAGGGAAAACTGGTCCCCCCGGACACCAAGGCTTCAGAGGGAGCAGAGGGAACCCTGGTGCAACGGTAACACATCTTATACCTTTACCTTGTGAAAATATTTAGTCTTTAATGTAATGTCCTCTAAGACCTGAAGGGAATGTCTGTACTGAAGGGAGTCTAACAGCAGTACGTTAGAGAACATTTGTATTTTTGCTAAGTGTCCAATTTCCTTGGCTAGCTTTTCCTCTTTATTAAGCAATTTGAAAAAGAATCCAAAGTGCATTTCTTTGATCTAACCTGAGTTACTGAGCAGAATAGCTCAGCACATGTACATGTTTTCTATTGGTGGAGATATTGGTGGATTGGCCTTTGCCAATCAGCGCTAAGAAGTGTATTAAAACTGTTTTTATGCTTTGAGCACTGAGGAGTTCCTCAGTGCACTTCTGAATGTAACCATTGTTCTGCACTCCTTGCTTGCAACTAAAACTTTTAAAACTTGAGATCTCGTATTTGATTCTTTATTTGATCAGATCTTTATTTGATCTTTATTTGAATTCTTTGTGTGTTAGAAAACTGGGGTATGAACTAACAGCATTTTTTTACAGTCCTATCTAACAGAGAAAGTTTCCTGACATTGGCTTTCACTCTTCTGTCCAGTTCATCCCAAACCAGCTTCATGGGGTTTAGGTCTGCAGGCTGTGCTGGCCACTCCATGTTTTCAAGCTTACCATTTTATTCTTATTTCTTGAAGTAGTTTTGGTATAGCTTGGACTTGTGTTTTGGGTCATTGTCTTGCTGTAGGATGAACCTTTGACCAACTAGGTGCATACCAGAGGGTATCGCATGGCGCTGCAGAATGCTGTGGTAGCCGTTTTGGTTCAGGGTGCCGCTCACTCTGTAAAAGTCACCGACCCTGCATCCAGCAAAACAGCCCCAGACCATCACACTTCACCTCCTCCATGTTTGACAGTTGATGTCACACACTGAGAAACCATCCTCTCACCTACTCGACGGCGTACAAAGATCCTGCGTGATGAACCGAAGATTTGAAATTTTGATTTATCAGTTCATAATACCTTCTTCCAGTCTTCAGTAGTCCAATGGCAATTTGTGGCCCAGGAGAGCCTCTTTGTCTTATTCTGACATCTTAGCAAAGGCTTTCTTGCTGCAACTCGTCCTGGCAAACCTGCAGCTCGAAGTCTTTTCTTCACAGTTGAAACTGAGACTTGCTGACTATGACCACATTAAGTTATGCTTGAAGCTGTTGTCCTGTGAACCACCTATCACACAAGCTGTTAACTCTCAGACACTTGCCCTCCATTTCAGTTGTGGCTTTGGGCCTGCCAGACCAGTTCCTGTCAGAGTTTCCCCCAGTTTCTGAGTGCCTTTTGATGCTGAAGAAAACTGTACTCACTGACACCTTGACTTTCGTTGCAATTTCCCTGTAGGAAAGACCTACATTTTTCAAGTGTTATGATGGTCTGTCTCTCTTCCATTGTTAATTGCCTTTTAGTCACCATTTTTGTAGCAACACACTACTTTCTGCAGTACAATTCTGTTCACCTGATGCTCATGAGGGTCTGGTACCACAGTGTGTTCCAACACTGCTTTTATGCAGACAGAAGGGGTTGTAAGTAATCCAGAAAAGTTGGAACACCTGTAGGAATTATGATTCAACCTTCATTGCTGCAGAACAGCTTTAAATTGTTAACCCACTTCGTGTTCCCTGAAAATGGTCTTTTTGTATAATTCTGAAATGTACATTATTTTTTAGTTTTGGGTAACCAAACCTTTTCTTTAACCTCTGGCTGTTCAGTACTTACCTTTGTACCATTTCAAGCTATTCCTAGGACTTGCACGACTTGAATTGCAATAAATAACTGGAAAAATTAGGGTCTGGTCTAAAACTTTTGACCAGTAGTGTATGTCTTTGCTCCTCTTTTTGACCGTGTAGCCAATCCTACCGAGCTGCCTGTCGATTGAGGATGTCGGGATTTTGATCAACCAGGGCATGAGGAACACTAACATCGAGTCGTCTGCCAGACTGCTGGGTGACACCGTGGTTGTCAGTGAGAAATTTATCACCAACTGCCTCTCCTTATTCGATGACGCCATGCTGCAGAAAGCCCAGAAGGTCCACTAATGGCACACATCTTTACAGAAAACAGGCCAAAAATACAATATATTTTCTGAAATCATTCATCAGTTTGGTGGTGTCTAATCATGTGGTCTGTAGGAAGTGAAGTCCAACCCAGTGTTTCTGATCAATGAAGAGGATTTGAAGCAGGCTTCGATGCTGGCCGAGAGTACAGGCCCTTCGAGAAAGGAGAAGAAAGAAGCCGAGCGCAAAAAGAAGGCTTCAGGTTTGTTTAAAGGGATGCTCCGTGTTTTTTAGGTGTAGTGATCGACACCCATACATAACTTAAAACAACATTCTAAAAACAGATGGACGCTACAAAATCGCAGCTTTATAGTATAAAAAGAAATTGTACTATATTGAGCCCATATTTGGGAAAATTGTTGTGTTAGCAGCAATTATGCTGTTAACAGGCTGCCCCTAGCAAGCGCCAAGCATGCGGTTCCTCTGGGAATCAAACCCAGGACTCTCTGCTCTCTACTTCCATGGCAGGCGCACTAACCGCTACACTATGGAACCAACCCAAAAAATTCACAAATTTGCTAGTCTCTTTTTTGATTCTTAATGTCTAAGGTCTCTAATAAGTTGGTCCTAAAACAACAAAAATTTCCATCTAGATTCACTTTCAGCCAGACATGCATGTTCTGTTTCTCAGGTTACTAATCATCTGTCTCCCACAGAGGGCAGCGGCAGCGTAAAAGGCGGTGGAGGAGGCAACGCCAGAGAGATCCGGATTCGTAAAACGAAGAAAAAAGGCAAGAAAGACGAGGACAGCGACGAGGACATCGGACCTGCGCAGCAAAGTACAGTGAGGGCCCCAGGGCCACACTTTTCTATTTTCATTGGACCTACGTTAAAGTCACTATATGCTCAGCGATGCATTTTACTATAACAAGAGCAATATGCATGGTCCGTTTTCATCTTGCCAGACAAAGCTTTGCTACGGGAATAATCACGTGTTTTTTTACCTTTTTTACCTAAGAACGCAGCAAACCCAAAGAAGCCACTTTTATGACCCAGGAGGAGATCATGACAGTTTTAGAGGAGAGAGTGAACGACTGCCCCGATGAAGTCCTTTCAGAGTTGGCTGATCACTTAATGAGGTGCATTCAAACACCAGCATGTGTTTCCCCCTGCTGAGACTACAGTGAGGAAGCTAAAGCTGCGTGGTTCATGTTTGTGTCTCTGCAGGCCTCTGACCAAATCTTATCAGGAGGTGCTGCGCACCACGTTCATGTCCTCCACCAGCTGTCCATCAAGTGCCGATAAGAAGAAGAGCAGGAAAGATTTACAGGAGGAGATCAGCACACTCTACAACAATATCCGTCTCTTTGAAAAGGGCGCCAAACTCTTCTCTGGTAAATCCTGTTTGTTTATATATCAGGGCCTTTAAAAGTGTCATTTGATATTAATGGAAGACATTTTAATGCAGTTGGGTGGTAAACTTAGGTATCGACCGATGTTCGCCTTGTTAACCGAAAATGAGGTTGACATTTACTGACGCTGAAATAAAAATATACTACATATATATATATATATA